ACGCGGCTTCTAAGGAGTTTTCTGCTCCAGGTGGCAGCGCGTTGCCTAGTTTGGGGCGCATTTTGAATGGAAAGATTTGGAGGGACGTGCCCACGCGTCTGCTGCGTGGACACGGCTCCCTGAGGTCCCATCTGCAGCCCCGGGACTTCTTGCTGCTCTTGCTCCTTAGACTTTCCAGGGGTCTCCGGCGAACCTAGACCCTTCCACCTGTCCCCAACCTCCGCGAACAGGGCTCAGGGTTCTGCCGTCGAGTCTGCCGACTTTAAAGGTCCAGCTGGAAGCGGGGCAGCAAAACGCAGGGAAGTCCAGTGGCCGCGGCTGTCGGATGCTCCCCGGGTAGCGGAGCGCCGCGTGGGCGGTCAGGGCGCCTGGAAGACCGAGGCTGAGGCCGCTGGGCAGGGTCCCCCGCCCCAAAGCTGCGTTCCTGTCCGCTGAGATAGCTCACAGGCAGCTTTTATTTTCGAAACCTCCTTTTTCTCATTTTTGAACAACGCCTCTGCCCCCCAGCTCGCTGCGGGGCTGGAAGAATGAGCAAACTGTAAACTTTGAGCGCTGGGTACAAGGCGAGCCTGGAAATCGGACACGAGGTCGGGGTGCCTTTGAGTTCAGAAAGGTGGAACAGGCTGGGTAAGTGTGAAATCCGCCCCGAGCCGGCCCTGCGGCGGTTCCCAGCGCGTTACTGCAAGGCGGGCGCCCCCGCCTCGCCTCGCCCCGCCCCGCCCCGCAGGGTAGGATTGACCCTCTTGCTAGAGACCTTTGAGGGGCTTCCTGGAGCCCTGAGCAGGGCTGGTCCTCAGGTTCAGTGGCAGGTCGTGGTGCCGGCCCCCGGATTTGGGGTGTACGTGTTGCTTTGGTGAACATTTGGTGACTGCGCCTCCCTGTGGCAGGACACCAACCACGATTTGCATTTCATTAATCGGGTAGCTGATTCCAGCTCTTTGGGTTATTTGCTGAGGTTTCAGTTAGTGACTTTTTCCCCCCCGTTGGGGGCTTTGAGGGGTGTGGCCTTCTTTTTGCGTGTCGCAGCCTGTGGTTAAGGGGGGAGGCTCGGGTGGAAGGCGGGCCTTCTGCTCCACTCCCCACTGAGAGCAGCACATTCACCTGCGGGAGACAGACAGCCTTTGTCCCTCTACTTCCACCTTCTATCCCTGAGCGTTTTTATTATAGAAATCTCCTGCCCACTGAAATACACGGGTACACTGAACACCCACAGGTGCGGCGGGAGGGAGGGAGGTTTCCCTTCCATTTGAAGCAAGTCCCAAAGGCTGTAGCAATTCAGTCAGTAATTATTTTAGCACCTTATTCTCCTCCAGCTCTGACCCATGCCCATCCCCCCCCGCCCCTCCCCAAAAGTAGAGCTGTATTCTCTGGACACCTCCTTGTTTCACTCTTGTCCTTTAAGGAACAGCACCTCCCCCTTCAAATTCATAATTGGGATGTGACCGCCAGGATTTCAGGCTGGGCTTCAGAGCCCCTTTAACATCTACTGCACACGTGCTCCTACCCTTACTGTGGGGTTATCTCTGGATAAACCCATCACAAATTGAATATATCATAAGTGGAAAATGCATTGAATACACCTACCGAGCGCCATAGCTTAGCCTAGCCTACCTTGAATGTGCTCTGAACACTTGCCTTAACCCACAGTTGGGCATCAGTTGTTCACCCTCGCGATGGCATGGCTGACTGGGAGCCACAGCTCGCTACCACTGTTGAGTATCACAAGAGAAGATCGTACTGCATATCAATAGACCAGGAGAAGATCAAAATTCAAAGTATGGTTTCTGCTGAATGTGTATCGCTTTCATGCCATCATAAAGTAAAAAACAATTGTTAGGTCAAATCATCCTAAGTTGGGGACTATCTGCACTTGTGGTAGCGTTGTGTGCATCCTTATGTACCGTATTTGCCGGCGTATAAGACGATTTTTTGGCCCTGAAAAATATGCCTCCAAGTGGGGGGTCGTCTTATACGCCAGGTACACTTCAGATAGACTGCCCATAGTGCTTGCCCTGTGCCATAGTGGCCTCCCGATGCCCGCCCACTTCATTCCACATACCGTTCAGGCATCAGCAGCGCTGCTGGGTGTATGCTCGGCTGTTATGCGATTTTGCTGTTATGCGATTTTACCACACTCGCAAAATCGCACACAGCCGACCATACACCCAGTATGATAGCGCAAAATCACGAATCGCGATACCATACTGGGTGTATGGTTGGCTGTGTGCGATTTTGCGAGTGTGGTAAATTCGGGTTACCGTATATTTCTTTACATATGCATTGAAGATTCGCGATTTTGCGCTATCATGGTGCCTGTTAGAATGTTGAAGAGCTCGCACTTGCGCACTAGTGAGGTCCCAGGGAGATGCTGATGCAAGGGTGGACCAGACTGCTATAGTGACAGGGCGGGCAAACAGGGAGCAGGGACCAATCAAATCAGGCTTTGTATACAGCCAACAGCCAACCACAATACTGCCCCATTGTACAGTACAGCATAGAAAATGTCGACCAGTCAAACCCCTATCATCCCTATCATGGCACCAAGATGTCGTTGATGAACTTTTAATATCAGATGATGAAGAGGAGTGTGAAGGCTTTTAAGGTGAAACTGTCACGCCAGCAAAATTGCTAGGGACTTGCCCGGCACTTGCTCTCTACCTCTATTTGTTATCTTACTTCTATCATTGACAGTCCCTCTAGGTTGTGGGCTGCTTGCCTGTGTTCCTGAGAAGCATCTACGGTACCAGTCTATAGAGTGTGTTTTCTTTAGTGAATTACCGGTATGTTTACCGGTAATAAACTTGCACTGTTTTATGTATATGTTTGATTACATACAGCCTTGTGACAGTTTTCCTGCATGTCATAAGCATTTGAATATAAATTAAAATGTTAAAATCAAATCTGATATTGTTTTACCTTTTATTTGGTGTGTGGAAGGTGTGCGGAAGAGGGGGTAGTCTTATACGGCGAGTATATAACAAACTCTGTATTTTGAGTGGAAATGTTAGGGGGTCGTCTTATACGCCCAGTCGTCTTATACGCCGGCAAATACGGTATTTATCTGTTTATCTACTTAGTGCAAGTTCCCAGCATTTTCTCTACATTATGATTGAAGTAGGCTTTTGTGGACTAAACTCACCCCTCCCATCACTAGGAGTTTTGGAACATTTCCACTCCTTATAGGGCTGAGGAAAATCAAACAAACAAATCAAGCCAAAATAACATAACTTTTATGTCCTCTTCCTTCCCCATCACCCCAGAGATTTTCTGCAGGCTTGAGAATTGGTCTGGTTAAGTGGTAGTTCTGGATACTTAAATGCTTAACCTTTAAGTCTGAAATAGTTTGCCTAATCAATAGGATGGGAATTTCTTTGTCTTGGTGAAGGGAGCATATTCAATATGCAGACATAGTTCAAGTGATTCTTGAAGCTTCAGGGTGCTGATGGCCACAATTGATGGAACTGAGAGCTGAAGGAGCATGACCTAGAAGAGACACTGGAATTTCCTTTCTTGAAGACCTAATGCCAGTTGGCTTGGGGTAATTTGCCTTCTTCTAAGAACAGCTGAACCCTGTGGCATGTGTGCCAGGCACTGGACTGGGCCCTGTCATACACCAACTTATTTAATTTTCATCCCATTTGCAGATGAAGGAGTAGGGACTCAGAATGGCTAGCAGGATTTGATGAAGGTTGATTGACTTGGATTCTGCACTGTGAGCCACTGTGCTGCCTGACCTCCTAAGAGCAGATCTCTAGCTGAGTTAGATCTCTAGTTAGTTTTGCAACATGAGGTTCTGGACCAAAGGCCAGTGCAGCCTTCTCCCAAGTGGCTTCCTGGCCCTGTAGAAGTCTGTGGGCAAAGTGGTGCTGCCTCAGCAGCCCCTCAGGGTTCACATGTGTCCCGGGCTTCACACGAGCATCTTCCCCAGTGCCTGGGTGGATGGAAGCCTTTCTTTTGGTGTGTAATTTTGTATAACTGAATCTTCAGTTAAAGAGAATGTTACTTTAACAATCATTTTCTGGACTAGATAATACATTTACATGATAACAACATGCAATAAACTAGGACTGAAAGGAAATGTAATTAACCAGATAAAGGCCGTCTATAAACAAATAAGCAGAGCTAACATCATACTTAATGGTGAAAAACTGAAAGCTTTACCCCTAAGGTCAGGAACAAGACAAGGATGTCTGTTCTCACCACTTGTATTCAACATTGCACCAGAGGTTCTAGCCAGGATAGTTAGGCAAGAAAATGAATGGATCTATTTACATTGTATATTCTTGAAAATGTGTTTCTTTTTTTTTTATTGTTTTATTGCTTAAAGTATTACAAAGAGTATTACATATATCTTCTCCCCCCACCCCTGGCCCTTGACAATCCCCTGGCCTTCCCTACTCCCCAGTGTCTTATGTCCATTGGTTATGCTTATATGCACGCATACAAGTCCTTCAGTTGATCTCTTACCCCCTCCCTTCCTGCCCCCCAACCCTCCCCGGCCTTCCCATTGTAGTTTGACTGTTCGTTCGAGGCAGCTCTGCCTCTGTATCTATTTTTGTTCATAAGTTTATAATGGTCTTTATTATCCATAAATGAGTGAGATTTGAAAATGTGTTTCAGAGTTTGTTCTGCGTCAGTACTTTTAAAGTACCAGATGGGTGTACAATAATCCTTTATTTTAAATACATGGTGATGAACATTTAAGTCATTTCTGATCTTTCTCTATAGCAGACAGTGCTGCTTTGACAAAGATCAGAACGGAATATCCTCATAGACAGCCCATTTCATAAAAGCATGGTTATTTATAAGATAGAATAATTGATAGGTCAGAGAGTTTGCATTTTAAAGTATTACCAATATTGCCAAATTGCTCTCCATAAAGAAGTTGTACCACCCTAGCTGGTTTGCTCAGTGGATAGAGCTGTTGGCCTGTGGACTGAAGGGTCCCTGGTTTGATTTTGGTCCAGGGCACATGCCTGGGTTGTAGGCTCAATCCCCAGTAGGGGGCGTGCAGGAGGCAGCCTATAGATGATTCTCTCTCATCATTGATGTTTCTCTCTCTCTCTCCCTCTCCCTTTCTCCCTGAAATCAATAAAAATATATTTTAAAGAAAAGAAGTTGTACCAATTTGCCTTCCTACCAGCCATGTACCAGCTGGCCTGTTTTCCTACACCTTCACCCATGCAGTGAGTTAGTCGACCTTTTGATCTTGACCATCTGATGGTAAACTTCTTAATTTGCCTTTCTCTGTTTGTGAGAGGCCGGAAAGATCATGTAAATTACTATTGTTCTCTGATGAGCTGGATGCTTTAGAGCAGCGGTTCTCAACCTGTGGGTCGCGACCCCTTTGGTGGTCGAACGACCCTTTCACAGGGGTCGCCTAAGACCATCCTGCACATCAGATATTTACATTACGATTCATAACAATAGCAACATTACAGTTATGAAGTAGCAACGAAAATAATTTTATAGTTGGGTCACAACATGAGGCACTGTATTTAAAGGGCCAGAAGGTTGAGAGAGATGTAGAATTCACCACAGAGAGCAGAATCAGGTCTCCAGGCCAAGGAAGCTGCACAGAAACGCAGAAGAGGGTGTGAGTCAGAAGGTGAACTAGCTTTAGGGTCATTAACCAGAGCCATCTGTTGGGCTCCTCCTTTGTGTGAGAAACTCCCAGGTTCCTAAGAGCAGGTTAGTCAGGAAGACGTCAGGACTCATTAACTATTGAAAGTGCAGTTCTTCCATTGCTCACGTCTGCACTTGGATTTAGAAGCACATCGAGAGGCTGGGAGAGAGGAGTGGCCTGATGTTATGCCCAAACGCATGCTATGGGCACTGCTCATGCTCACACAAACCAGATCTAGGTGCAGGGAGTGGAAAACCTCTGAAAAATAACCACAGCTTTGTTCTGTGCTTTCTCTCAGGAACTGTCTACCTTGACCATGCAGGAGCCACGCTATTCCCCGAGAGCCAGCTCAGGAGCTTCACTCGTGATCTCCTGGAGAATGTTTATGGTAAAGAAGAACACACCATCACTGATTCTTGCATTGGGCGTTAGCCAACTACATTCAGTGGATAGGTCTCTGCTTAATAAATGTTGGGTTAATAGACTGGGACTGAGCCGGGACCCAGAGCTGAATAAGCAGGCAAACACATGTCATTCCTTACAACACGCGTGCGGCCAGGATGGGGTAACTGGCTCAGGGGCATGTGTGTCCCTTCCAGAGGAAAGGCACAGGGGCACAAGGTGCTGTATTTGGTGGTGGGATGGCCTCTGGGACTGGCACTGTACACAGAGAGGGACAACAGGGGGAACATGCATGCATTCACTCACTCCATAAATATTTGTCAGCCACTCTGGTGTCGGGGGCATGGTGCAAATGGGCACAAAGTAAGCAGTCCCTGCCTTCATGGACTCTGGTCTAGTTAGGGCTAGACCTCAAGTCAGGGATCCCCAAGTAAATGTTAATTACCAACGCTGTGAAGGGCTGTGAACCGAAGGCCTCTGGGCCATGAGGTCTGGACCTGCAGAGTGACAGCAGGTGGGCAGTGTGAGCGGCAGGGAAATTTCCTCAGGAGCGGGCTCGATGCTGGAGGAGGAGCAGGAATTCCCTCGGAAGAGTCAGGAGAAGGGCAAAGGGAACAAATGAGCCAGGACCCTGCTGTGGTTTCAGGAACCAGCCCAGGAACTCAGAGGGAGGCATGAATGGAAGGGCAGGTAGGTACCTTATAGGTCTCTGTAGAGCTTGAACTTTATTCTAGAAATGATGGCCAGTCACTGAAAGCATTGATCAGCAGCACAATGTGATCAGGAGATAACTTTGGAAAGCGATGTTGAAAAACAGTAGTAGCAGGTGTAACCATGGTAATGATAATAGCAATAAATGATAATAATAACCTGTACTGAGCACTCATTGTGCTTCAGGTACTGTTCCAAATGCTTTGTCTGTATTATCTCTCCATCCTCAGGGCAAGCTCAGGCGCAGGTTCTGTTATCTCTCCTGCTGTCCAAGGGAGGAAACTGCCCGGGGAGGCAGGTCATTACTCTGAGGCCACATTGTCAGGAAGCGCTGGGGCTGGGGCAGTCAGGGCAGCTGCGTTTCTAGGCAGCTTGGCTCCCTGGAGTTAATGAACAGAACTGGGCTGGCCACCTGTTGGGAAACTGGTAGAAGAGGTTCTCGTATTGGCTGACTTCCAGTTCCAAAGGCTCTTCCTAGACCCTGTCTTGTTTGTTTTACTTGCTTTGTTTGTTTAGCAGGTTTTTTTTTTAAAAAAATTTTTTTTAAATTGATTTCAGAGAGAAAGGGAGAGGAAGAGAGAGAGAGAGAAGCATCAATGATGAGAGAGAATCATTGATTGCCTGCCTCCTGCATGCCTCACAATGGGGATCTAGCCCACAACTTGGATATGTGCCCTGACCGAGAATTGAACTATGACCTTCTAGTTCATAGGTCTACGCTCATCAACTGAGCCATGCCGACTGGGCCAGATTCCTTGAGTTATATTTTATATCCATAAAATTCACATATTTCAAGTGTACAATTCAGTGATTTTTAGTCTAACTATAAATCATTTAGAATATTTTCATTCCCCCAATAAAATCTCCGATGCCCATTCACAGTTGATCTCTGTTGCTCCCCCAACCCCTCAACCTGCCCCTCTCTCTCCCCTCACTCTCACCCCAAGCCACCAATGATCTACTACTTTCTGTATCTTTATATAGTCATCTTTGCTGGACATCTATATATATATAAAAGGTTAATATGCAAAGTGTCCCCTCTGGAGTTTGATCAGGAGACCCGGAGTTCGATCACTTGCTATGATGTGTGCCGACCACCAGGGGGCAGCACAGCATGAAGGAAGGCCTCAGCCAGCAGCGGGGGAAGGAAGGCCCTAGCTGGCAGCTGGAAGGCCCCAATTGGCCCTGATTGCCAGCCAGTCATAGGGACCCTACCCATGCATGAATTTTGTGCACCAGGCCTTTAGTTTTATATAAGTGGATCATGCAATATGTGATCTCTGTGTCTGATGTCTTTTTTTTTTTAAATCTTTATTGTTGAAAGTCTTACATATGTCCCCTTCTTTTCCTCCATTTGACCCCTTGTAGCCCACCCCCACTTAGCATGCTTTTGAAGTTCATGCATGACATAGTCCAGCCGTGGGCAAACTACGGCCCGTTTGAAATGAATAAAACTATTGAAAAAAAAAGACCGTACCCTTTTATGTAATGATGTTTACTTTGAATTTACATTAGTTCACACAAACACTACATCCATGCTTTTGTTCCGGCCCTCCGGTCCAGTTTAAGAACCCATTGTGGCCCTCGAGTCAGAAAGTTTGCCCACCCCTGACATAGTCAGTAGTTTTTTCCTCTTTATTGCCAAATAATTTTTCATTGTATGGATATGTTACATTTTATCTATCTGTTCACCAATTGATTGACATTTATGTTCCCAGAATTTAGCTTTACAAATAGAGCTGCTATGAACATTCTTGTGCATGAATCTTTGTGTGGACATGTTTCCATTTCTATTGAGTATGTAGGAGTGGAATCATATAATAGTTTTATGCTTAACTTTTTGAGAAACCACAGGAGAGGATTTTGGATGAACAGAAAAGGAGAGATCATAAGTAGTGAGTGACTGATGGCCTTGCCTTTGTAACCCCCCAGGTAACCCTCACAGCCAGAGCATCAGCAGCAAGCTCACCCAGGACACCGTGGAGCAGGTGCGCTACAGGTGAGCGGCAGGGAGGCTCTCCTAGTGCATGGGCATGCTTCCCACACCTGCCCACATCCCAGGCAATGAACTGGTTTCAGGAAGGTCACATTCAGTTAAATGGCCACACACACAATGATAAAGATCAGGGTCTGAGGTTGGGAAGGTGAGAGTGAGCAGGTGCCAATGGGGGCCGACCAGGAGCACAGGGAGGCAGCTGAGGTGTGTACCGCGGTGTGTGTGGCTCTGGGCTGCTGCCCTCGTTCCTGGGCACCAGAGTGATAAGGAGTGACACAGGTCCTAAGTCTTGTTTTTAGAGAGAATAAAAACAGTTTCTCTGGTTTTCCTTTTCATGTTTCATTAGGCATCTTGTTTTATTCATCCCCCTTTTTACTAATATTTGCACATCAAACAGCTCTGTATTTTTCCACATGTAGTAATTAGCGTTCGGGAAATAATTTCCAAGAGGTACCTAAAGTTACTTGAATTGATACAATTTCAAATTATTTCCAATTTGAAACGGATACTGGGTTGCCAGTATTAAAAAGCAACGTGAAACAAGCTGGGGACTTAAAACTTAAGGTGGAGCCAGAGTAGACCAAGGGGGGAAGGTATTTTCAACTAAGGCTAAGGCAGCTGAGGGTTCTCAGCTCCTCCGTGGGGGCGGGGACCTGGGAGGCAGGTGATTTTGCCAGTTTGAATCCGTTGGTCGTCTCTTCCCACACCTGCTCTGACTTCACGGTGATGGCAGAGCCTCTCTGAGTTTGTTCTAGCTATTCAGGCAGAGAGGTGCATGTGTAGCGGGAATGCAGCTCATTGCAAACAGAGCGCTGAGTGAGCCCAGCCGCCGCGATGCTGTGTTTTCCAGGGTCCTGGCGCACTTCCACGCCTCCCCAGAGGACTACAGCGTGATTTTCACCGCCGGGAGCACGGCTGCCCTTAAACTGGTGGCGGAAGCCTTCCCGTGGGTGTCCCGGGGCCCCGGGAGCAGCGGGAGCCTGTTCTGTTACCTCACCGACAGCCACACCTCCGTGGTGGGCATGCGGATGGTCGCCACAGCCAGGGGTGTCACTTCCATCCCGGTCAGGCCGGAGGACATGTGGTCGGCGGAGAAACGGGGTGCTGCCGCCAGCGACCCCGACTGCCAGCTTCCGCATCTCTTCTGTTATCCGGCTCAGAGTAACTTCTCTGGCACCCGGTACCCTCTGTCCTGGATAGGAGAGGTCAGGGCGGGGCGCATGTGCCCGGTGAGCGCGCCCGCACCCGGGCGGTGGTTCGTGCTGCTGGACGCAGCCTCCTACGCCAGCACCTCCCCTTTGGACCTGTCGGCGCACCCGGCGGATTTCGTCTCCCTCTCCTTCTACAAGATCTTCGGCTTCCCCACCGGCCTGGGGGCGCTGCTGGTGCACAATCGGGTGGCTCCCCTGCTGAAGAAAACCTACTTTGGAGGAGGCACAGCCGCTGCATACCTGGCGGGAGAAGACTTCTACATCCCCAGGCCATCGGTGGCAGAAAGGTCACCTCGCGTGGGAGTGGCTGGGGCAGAGTCCAGAAGTCTGGGGTCTGGCTGTGCAGCCTGTAGGGTTGTGCAGGGGGGTCGGGGGGTGGGGGGCTGGGCCACTGGGGTCAGGGTCGGCCGTTCCTGGCAGGGACGAAGGCTGGGCAGGCTCAGATGTGGGAGGCAGAGGCCACAGCGCAGTGAACTCTGCTCCCGTTTGCGGGGCCCCTTTAGCGGTGGGAGCACAAGGGCTGCGGGTGAGGGCTGCACGCAGAAGAGGTGAGAGGACCTCACAGAGGAAGGAGGGAGGCCCCAGGCCTTTGCACAGAGTGCTGGAGAGGGGTGTCTATGAAAGCAGCGATTTGGGCGGTTTTGAACAATCGTGCACACAGGTTGACAGCATAGCTGGCTTTCAGCAGCTAGAATCAGCTCAGCTTGGCCCTGGTTAATAGGAGGAATCAATTCAACGAGAGGCCACCAGGCTTGTGGGCACCGTGAACAGCTGCCTCTGTGAGCCCCGCTGTGCGCTACAAAGGACAGTGGAGGGCAGGCAGCTACTTGGCATCCAGTGGCACAGGCCTCTGCTGGGGTTTTCCCAGGCGGCAGGGCAGGCGTCTGGTTCATGCTCAGGAATTTCCCAGATGTGAGAGGCCGAAACTGGTAGCTGGGAACTCGGGGTTCCGCTGGTTCCAACAGGAGGGGGTGCCGCGGGGTTGGGGTAGGTTGGGTCACCTGCTGGTGTCTGAGAAGGCCTGGGGCCTGGATGGGAAGGGGGTCAGATCCCCCACAGACCCAGGTGCAGACTCCAGGGTCCTGCAGAGAAGGAGGTGGCTTTGGCAGTAGAGTTGTTGGTTATGGGTCTAGGCCCCAGAGCTGGTTTCACTGGGGAGCGAGTCCTGACTCCAACACACCCCAGCTGTGTGGGCAGGGGCATGTGGCTTGATCTCTGCACCTCCTGTTTTTCCCATAAAGTGGGTCTCTAGCCTTGGCCGGTGTGGCTCAGTTGGTTCAGTGTCATCCCATAGACCGAAAGGTTGCCGGTTCAATTCCTGGTCAGGGCACATACCTAGGTTGTGGGTTTGATCCCCGGTTGGGGCACATATGGGAAGGCACTAATTGATGTTTCTCCCTCACACTGATTTTTTTCCCTCTCGCTCTTCCCCTCTCTCTCAAATCAACAAGCATGTCCTCGGGCGAGGATTAAAAATAAAAAAAAGTGGTTCTCTAAAAGGATACAGTTCTTTAGCGCTAATAGGTGAAGCACCAAGATGGAGTTGGCATAAATACATTGTGAGGCTATTTGATGTCTCTTTTATTGAGAACATCCCATAGTTGGGGGACTCTAAAACAGAAACACTAATGTAAAGCCTTTTGAATACAAGTGTGATAAGTTAATGTGTAACATAATTAAGTGAGAAAAGAAAGACAGGCACAACATATAAATTAAAGGCAGAAGAACATGACAACCCAAACTTTATTGAGCCAATAGGCAGAGAGAAGTGGGCAGCTTGTTCCAGGCGGTGTGGGTGGGCTGGGCTGGCCCAGACCACTGTCCTTCCATTTGGGTGGGTTGTCTTACAGCAGCTGCCACACCGCGACTCCCAGCAAGCTGAATTTTTTTCCTGTGAACTTAGGACTAGAACTCAAGAAATTTAATACACAACTTACATGTTTCTTGAGCATGTTACCTAGACCATGTGTGCAAAGCCCTCTGTCCCGAGGAGGAGTGTGATGCTTACGAGGCAGCAGGGAGAAGGTGTTCACAGATGTGGCCGAGCCCGAGTCATTACACGCCACACATGCACGTGGAGACGCGACCCCGCTTGACTCCTTCCCTCACTCTGGTTACAGGTTTGAGGATGGCACCATCCCGTTCCTTGACGTGATAGCGCTCAAACACGGATTTGATGCCCTAGAGCGCCTCACAGGTAGGGGGACATTGTTATCCTGTGGAATTTGCTCCCGTAGCCCACGTCCTCCTGGGAGCCCAGCCGGGGTGACTCAGATGAAGGAGTGGGTGTGTGACCGGCTAATGGCCGCTGTACAGAGCCCGCCTTTAGAGCCAGCGCTAAAGAACTTCTAAGTGATTCCTGAGGCAAAAGCAAGGGCCTGAGGCTTTTTTGTCAGTTACAGAGCATTGTTACAGGTAAGAGGCAGCCCGAGGCAGGAAGGGACTAGCCTCAAAGGAGCAGGGGAGACGTCGGCTCCTGCACTGGGACCGGTTACAGGTCCCGATACCTTCCTCCGCTCTGACCTTGCTGGGTGCCCCCTGCCCCCGCCCCCGCTCCCGGGATACATGGCTGGCCTGCTTATCCACGGAGGCGCTTGTGCTCAGAGAGGCCGAGTGCCTTCTCCAGGGCCAGGGAGCCGGCAAGTGGGAGGCCTGGATTTAAACCCAGGACAACTAAGGCCTGACCCGAGCCTCCAACGCGATGCCTGCTACTGGCCTTTGCACGTTTCTCACATGACGAGCGCTTAGGGGTGTGGGCAGATTGGGGCGCTCACTGTAGGCTGACACAGACAGATGGGCAGATTGGGGCGCTCACTGTAGGCTGACACAGACAGATGCCACTTCCCATCCCCTGGGGCTTGACCCAAAGGTACAGGCCTGGAGGAACCTCCTTCTGGTGAGCCGGGCATCCGCTGTCCTGCTATGCTCCTTCTAGAGCAGCGGTTCTCAACCTGTGGGTCACGACCCCTTTGGGGTCGAACAACCCTTTCACGGGGGTTGCCTAAGACCATCGGAAAACACATATATAATTACATATTGTTTTGGTGATTAATCACTATGCTTTAATTATGTTCAATTTGTAACAATGAAATTGGGGGTCACCACAACATGAGGAACTGTATTAAAGGGTCGTGGCATTAGGAAGGTTGAGAACCACTGTTCTAGAGGCTGAGCTTCTAGAGCTGGCGGCACCACTTGAACCACCATGTGGAGAGGGCTCTGAGGTGAACCAGGGGCGTGACTTTATGGTTAGGCAGCCCTTTCTCTGTCTCTTATTTCACAGTCTTGGGACCCTGCAGGCCTTAGCCCAACATGGGAGGCAGACGGGCCTCATGGGAGGAGAGAGGTGCCCTGCAGGGAGGTGGGTGGGCATCATCCAGGACACTGAAAATGAGCACTTTCCCCAGGAAAGATATCACATGGCCCTCAAATGCAAGTGGCAGGGTCTGACAGGGCCAGGGCACCTTGAAAGTAGATCGACAATTTCAGTTTTCCAATAAAGCAAACCCCGATTTTTCCAACTTAATTTTTTAAAAATGATTGTAGTAAGCCTGTACGATATATCTATCTATCTATCTATCTATCTATCTATCTATCTATCTATCTCAGGTGTTCCCATGGGAAAATTCAGCCATGGAAACTTGTTTAGTACCAAAGACCTAAACATTTATCGTATGGGCAGTACCAAATATTTATAAGTATTTAAAATTATTAATATCAGGTCCAAGTTTGCCAGTTATAATAACCTCTCTTTTAAGAAACGAGAATGAATGTTATATAAGCTACTAATTCTCTCTGGCGTTTTCTCCTGTGTTCGAGGTGGCATGGAGAATGTGCAGCAGCACACCTTCACCCTGGCTCGGTACACCTATGCCGCCCTGTGCTCCCTCCGGTACCCCAACGGGGCCCCGGTGGTGCGCATCTACAGCGACTCTGAGTTCCGCAGCCCCGAGGCGCAGGGCCCAGTCATCAATTTTAACGTGCTCGACGCCAGCGGGAACGTCGTGGGTTACTCCCAGGTGGGTTTTCTTTCTGTTGCACCCACCTGTTCACAGCAGGATCGCTCTTGTCTGGGACTCAGCAGCCTCCCCAATCTGGAAACGTGCAGTCAAGGCCTCGGACCTTGGCAGAAGCTGTGACGAAGCCCAGATTCGGCTGCGGAGGCCAGGCCCTGCCTAGGAAGCTCTTTGCAAGCATGCCTGCTTAGTCCTTCAGCCCTCTTTATCCAGCCAGTAGTCAACTGCAAGTGGGAAGAGAGAGGCGCGTCTCTGACAGCAGTGCAAAGGGACAGAGCTGCTAGCAAAGAGGACGCCCTAAAGTCCTGTGAACAGGAAAGCAGTGGAGACCAAGCGCCATGTCCAAGGTCATTGATGTAGACAACTTGGTAGCCCCAATGGCACTCGAGAGCATATCACAGTGTCATGCAAAGTCATAGGTGCGCTCTCACCATTTGTTTGCATGTTGCTTGCAACTCAGAACTCTTTTTTTCTTTTATGACAAGTGGAAACAACGTCCTTAGTACCACAGAAGCCCTTGCTTGTGCCATGGCTCACACATAGCATGAGTTCAAAGGCTTTGGTAGGTTGGTTGTAAAGGCGTTTCTGCAGGTATATCCTTTGTGTCTATTTTCTCATGAAAACAGTGCTGGTAGTGCTCTGTAAGTCAGGAACTGCTTGCATTCTTGCCATAGTTGAGTAAGCTGGTCACTGGCCAGTCTTTTAAAACATCTGAAGTCACACCAAGCACTCAGACATGGCGGTTGTCGGTCACCGGATGGAGTGTTACAGACTGGGCGTGGGGAGCCCGGGTCCTTCCCGGAGCCCGGGTTCCTGCAGCTGCTCTGCGAGGAGCAGATGTGACCATCAGATACCTTTGGAAGACGGTTGTCTTCTTCCCTGGAAAGCTGCTATCCCCACACACCTTTATCAAACCCAGAATTTCTCAAACAAAATCCATTTCTCAAGGAATAATTTTTTCCTCTTCTGAATAGCCACAAACTTTCTGAGGAATAAACTTGAGAAATATTCTTCTGGGTTTTCACTGGTGTTGGGGACACAACCATCTCTTGGGTAGGTTGACTGCAGACCCCCTAGAGCCCCTTAGCCATACACCCGAAGAAGCAGCCCCAAAACTACTCAGAAGCATGTAATTTGAATTGTGTGTGTGTGTGTGTGTGTGTGTGTGAAAAATGCATGGAGACAAAAGGTTTGTCTTCTTTGATATGCTATTTTAGGTCATTGGTAAAATAAGTTTTATTCTTTAAAAAATGTATTTGTATTGATTTCAGAGAGGAAGGGGGAGGGAGAGAAAGATAGAAACATCAATGATGAGAGAGAATAATTGATCAGCTGCCTCCTGCATGCCCCACCCTGGGGATCAAGCCTGCAATCCAGGCATGTGCTCTGAATGTGAATCAAACTGTGACCTCCTGATTCATAGGTCGACACTCAACCACTGAACCACGCCGGTTGGGAAAATAAGTTTTCTTCTTAAACCTAAACTCAGCTTATGTTTCCTGAGGGGTAGAGGAAGATGGTGTGAAGTGCGCTGTGGCAGGTAGCGCGGGGAAGAATTCCCATTTGCTCAGAGATGCTTCAAAGAAGAGGGACCGGCAGGGAGAGGGAGCGGCCTGTCCAGGCTCCTCACTGACTGCACCAGGAATGTCATTCCCACAGCCGAGTGTCTCCCTCTGTGCGTTTGTGGAGGAAGCTGGTCCCACGCGTAGATTCCGGGGCTGAGGCCTGGCCAGCTGTGCCGGTGCAGGAAGCCCCGCTGTGTTCCTCCTGGGCTGAAGGAGCTTCACAGTGTGGGGACCAGATGGTGTCTTGGTTGGGTTTGGCTGTCTCTTTCCGGAGTGTGTAAAAAAAATGTAGCCTTCTCTGAGAAGCCTTTGGGTTCATGTTTTAGACATCCAGGCCTCCTATTTTCATTCTGGATTCAGATTCTGACTGTCCCTTGCTGGCTCTGGGCGCTTGGGGAAGTTAATTCAAACTCTCCATGTCTATATGAAGTGGGGGTAACAATGCACCTTGCTGATAGTGTTGTCATGAGGATTAAATGAGAGACACAGACAGCCCCTTAGTACAAGGCCTGGGATGAAGCAAATGCTCAATAAACATTGAGCACAAAGGCTTCTGGGCGGGGAGTCTTGGGTGCTACCTGGTGGTCAGGCCTGTTCCTCCCCCTTCCTGGATGCAGGGCTCATCCAGCCACAGCAACTGCACCTCGCTGGGCACAGAACAGGCCTGCGTGGGACTCAGCAGGGTTGAGAGGGAGAGAAAACTCAGCCATGATGGGAAATTTGGGTGAAGGGAAGTATGGCCCAAACAGCATCTTTTACTACATCCTCTTCTGGGGGGGGTTCCTGTCTCTTCCCCTTGACTCTTGGTGGGTTTACGACTTGCTTATAACCAATAGAATGTCCCAGGTGATATTGGATGCCTTTGGGGGCTAGGTCAGGAAAACTGATGCCCGTTGGCCTTCTTCCCTGGGTCACTCGCTTTTGGAGCCCTGAGTGACCATGTAAGCAGTCTTCCCTGAGGCTGTCCTGCTGTGAGGAAGCCAAGCCCGGGAGAGGCCACGGGTGGGCACTATATGGTGGCAGTGCTGTTTCGAGCCCGCCTCGCTGGGGAGGCCAGAAGCACACATGAGTCAGCCAGTCTCCAGGTGATTCCACCCTCCAAAGCCACCTCAATCCCTGCTTTTGAGTCCCCCCAACCGAGACTTGAGAAATTAAGAATCAGAGTCAGGTCACCCTCTCTGCCCTTTCTCAATTCCTGACCCACCGTAGCCGGGAGCACAATAAAATGGTTGTTTTATTCCACCAAGTTTGGGTGGCTTGCTTCGCAGCAATGATAACTAGGAGTGGGTGGGGAGAAGGGTGCCACGGTGACATCTGATTTAGTGTGGCGGGAGTTGGGGTCGGGGAGTGAGGCGCTTCCCTAGGGGCACCATTGCCACTAATCCCTTACTAGAGTGCTGTTCTCAGAATGTCCACCAGAGGGCGCTTTTGCAACAAATCCCTTCCACCCTGGGAATAGGGTTGGCTAGATCCAGAGGTGCTGCCTGGTCTCATCTCAGATTCCGAGATGTCATGATCGGATTTCCACATCACTGAGCTGTTCCTGAGGGAAAAGGAGTGGAGTTGTTTTCGGAGGCCTCCTGGTTCAGCCCAGAGAATAGCTTCTTCTCATTCTGATAGTCCAGGGGAGACAGCCATGGTCTTGACAAGAGAGGTACCATTGCCAGCACTGCCCAGCCAGGGCCCAGGCTGGCCCAGGTGACCTGTGGTCTGCAGAGGGCGCCCTATCCTCGTGGCTGCTCTGGCGACCCAACATGTGACTTCCCAGGGAGGAAAGTTCAAGGGCTTACCCCACTGGTCAAGCTGTATTTGTCTCCCTGAACGCAGTTAGGTGACTCCCCTGAATTTAACCTGAGTCACCGGGGCTGAGGCCCCTCACTGGGCCTCCAGGCCCTTGGAGGAACGGAGCCCTTGGCCCACAGCAGAAGAGCTGGGCCAAATGCCCCCCATGCTAACCCTGCCTGTGTGTCTTGAGTGAATGTGAATCACCTCCCTGCGCTGCCAGGGGGACAGGAAAGCACGTTGGAACTTCTGGATTAAACAGCAGTTCTGAGATTCAGCCCAAAGTTAGGACATTATGAAAAGCAAATTGATAACACACAGGCTCAACACAGTGATGTCTTCACTCCAGGCTGTGAGCTGCTCTGAGTGGTAGCTCAGCTGGGCCTGCTCTGGAATCAACCCTGTGGCAGAGGGTGCCAGGGGCTGCCCATGTTGTGCTCAGGTTCTGTACTTATTCATCTCGCTTGAAATGCGTGGGCCCTAACTTGGAATTTGGCCTAAACTCGATACGTTCTCTCTGTATTTTTTTTTAAGTAGTTTTTTTTGATAGGGGGAGAGAGAGAGAGAGAGAGAGGGAGAGAGAGAGAGAAAGAGAAAGAGAAAGGTTTGTTGTTCCACTTATTTATGCATTCATTGGTTGATTCTTGTATGTGTCCTGACCGGGACTGAACCCCCAACCTTGGTGTATCAGGATGATGCTCTAACCAATCAAGCTACCTGGCCAGGGCGATACTTTCTCTTTTCTCAGGCAAACATCTCTATCCCACTGGATAAATCTCAATGATCAGTAACATCTTAGACAATGTGTTTAGTAAACTTGTGAAGATCATGGCACTTTAGAACAAACTTGCAGGCTCCTGTTTTCATTTTATTGTTAGGAAAGAGAGGTCCAGATAGTGACCCAAAACTCTCCCAGGCCACTAACGCCGGCCATTCCTCACCTGGTTCCGTGTCACATTCAACCCGCAGGTGGAGAAGATGGCCAGTCTTTTCAACATCCAGGTGCGCACTGGCTGCTTCTGCAACACGGGGGCCTGCCAGCGGCACCTGGGGATCAGCGACGAGATGGTCAAGAAACACCTTCAGGTGGGTGTCAGGCCCTGCGGCCCAGAGGCCCAGACGCTTGCCAGCAACACCCCAGGGTGGTGCCCCCGAGAATCCCGGAGGCTGGCCTCGTGTTGTGTGGCGCTGGCTCATTTTCTAAACCCACCCTGTGGATGTGCAAAGGAAGCAGATCAACAAACATGGAAAATGCTTCCGGATGGTATCTCCATAAGTCATTTGTTACTTTGAAGGCAAAATGTAAAGGCTGAAGAGGGGTTTTGACAGGGGGCGCTTAATTAGTCCAGTCCGATCAGGGTGAAAATCTCCAAGCTGGAGTCTCCTTTTTCTGGGCTGGGTGAGGGGGGACCCTTCCAGGGGCGTCCTGCATCCATCAGAACTGCCCCCCCCCCACCTCCACTGAGGATTTCACTTCAAGGGAAAGCTGTTTGAAACCCTTTCATAACAGTTTGAGTGGCAGAGAGCCCTCATTTATTTAGGAATAGTTTCAACTTGAGTTTTGTTTGGTTGCCAGTAAATATCGCATATATTAGATCCCGACCAACCACGACCAGTTTTATTTGAGAAGAGAGAGAGGGAAGCTCAGAACACAAACAGGGAAGTCCAGGTGTGATGTTTGATCCTGTGGAATGAGTGCGGGGGGGGCCCCCCTCCCTGGAGGACTGACCCGGATTAGGTGCTGGGGAGGGGGCGTCCTGGGCAGTGACCAGCACCGGGGCGCTGAGCTCTGAGAGGCATGGGGACCTCTCACCTTTCTTCCGCTGCTGCCCAGCATGGACCCTTGAGCTTCCTTTGGCTTTGGCTCACGTAGTGGCCTCAGGAGGGTGGTTGATAGGGCAGCAGCTCAAAGGGCAGCTGCCAGGGATGCAGGCCTCCCTGGTTCTGAAAGGCTGAGGGTGTGGCCAGCGGGTGTCCTCCCACCTTAGCCCTGGGTAGACCCTGAAGGTGAGCCCTGGGCGCTGCGGGAGCTTTCGTCATCTTTCCGTACCCCTCTCTGCCAGTGGGCTCTGTGCGCAGCTCGCAGCCTCAGTAGATGCTTTCCGCGAAGTGTTTCCTTTAAGCCAGCGGTTCTCAACCTGTGGGTCGCGGCCCCTTTGGTGGTCGAATAGGGGTCGCCTAAGACCATCTGCATATCAGATATTTACATTACGATTCATAACAGTAGCAACATTACAGTTATGAAGTAGCAACAAAAATAATTTTACGGTTGGGTCACAACATGAGGAACTGTATTTAAAGGGCCAGAAGGTTGAGAACCACTGCTTTAAGCTTTTAATGGCCCCTGGAGATCAGTGTTGACCCCAATTTGCACTTGAGCAAAGGGCGATCTAGGCAGTGAGCCCTGCTTGCGGGACGACGTCGCAGGCACGCAGCCCAGGTGAGAGGTGCGATTCCATTTTCTGGGTCCATTTTATTTTACAAGATGAATGAAATCCATCTGTGAGGAGCAGCTGACTTCATTCCCTTCTCTTCCAGGCTGGTCATGTTTGTGGAGATGACGTGGACCTCGTAGATGGGCAGCCGACAGGGTCTGTGAGGATCTCATTTGGATACATGTCTACTCTTGAGGATGCCCAAGCCTTTCTCAAGTTCATCATAGACACCCGACTGCGCCCGCAACGTAGCCAGCCTGTTCCTCAGGCCGCCCCTGGGGAGGCTGGCACCGCACCAGCAGAGAGCGAGGCTCAGAGCACCGTGCCCGTCACTCTGTCCACCACCGTGCACACCACTGTGCCCACCACCATTCCCGCCACCATGCCCGCCACCGTGCATACCACTGTGCCCGCCACTGTGCACACCACTCTGTCCACCACCGTGCACACCACTGTGCCCACCACCATTCCCGCCACCATGCCCGCCACCGTGCATACCACTGTGCCCGCCACTCTGTCCACCACCGTGCCCACCACCGTGCTTGCCACCGTGCCCGCCACTGTGCCCGTCACTCTGTCCACCACCGTGCCTGCCACCATGCCCACCACCGTGCCCACCACTCTGCCCGCCACTGGGCACAGACCTAGTCCCTCTCCTCGGGAAGACACCCCCACAGCCTCCAGGGCCGGGAATGACTGGACCTCGGCTGTGGGTGCTGTGTGTTTGCAACCGCCTCTGCAGGAGGCCACTGGGACCCTGCAGGCCCCTCCAGAGAAAGCGGCAGCAGCCCCGTGTGGGGGCCTTGGGCCACATGTCATCACCAACCTTTTCCTCTACCCCATCAAATCCTGTGCTGCGTTTGAGGTAAGGGTTTAACGGCAGAACGGGGAGTGCTTGTTTTTTTTGTTTATAATGTGGGTTTTTTTGGGCAAAGTTAAGAAAAAAATACAGAATGTGAAAAAAAAAAAACCATGCAGAAAATTCCACTCAAGGTCAGAGTGTTGTGATGTCTGAAGAGCCGTTCTGTCGGCCTTTCTTGGTTAGGGCTGACCTTTGAACAGGGCTCTGCCTGCGGGAGCCTTGAGGGGACCCTGAGTGGTGAACGCCCGCTCACTGTTTTTATTTATTTTTTATTTTTATAATATATTTCTTTATTGGTTTCAGGGAGGAAAGGAGAGGGAGAGAGAGAGAAACATCAATGATGAGAGAGAATCATCAATCGGCTGCTTCCTGCATGCCCCCCACTGGGGATCGAGCCCACAACCCGGGCATGTGCCCTTGACTGGAATCGAACTGGGACCCTTCAGTCCGCAGGCAGGTGCTCTATCCACTGAGCCAAACCGGCCAGGGCCCGCCTGCTTACTGTTGATAGTTATGGATACAACGTTCAGCGAATGCATGGGCTGCCTCCCTAATGTGGCATTTCATGTGCCTTGTTTCATTTGATTCTAAAAACAATAATATGAGGCGCATGGTAATATCATCCCCATTTTGTAGAGATGGAGCCCGAAGGCCACTGAGGTGAAGCGCTTTACCCGGGTCTGACAGGGCAGAGCAGGGATTTGAACCCAGGTCTGTGACTCCTTACGCAACTTGTTCCCCTCAGCCCTCCCGTGGACGTGAACTATGCTCTGTCTTAAAAGCAGCTGGCCTGGGGTCACCCAAGCTGGGAGACGGGAGTGGCCTCACCTC